AGAAGCAAAGCCCAAACCACACCCACTGCCCTGGAGTCCATTCTGACCCACAGCGCCCCTAGAGGATGGAGTGGAACTGCCCCAGAGGATTTCTAAGGCTGTCAGTCTTTACAGAAGCAAAGCCCAAACCACACCCACTTGCCATGGAGTTGATCCCGACTTACAGCACCCCTAGAGGACAGAGTGGAACTGCACCCACAGGGTTTCCAAGGCTGTGGGGCAATCTATTTTGGTTGTGATACCGCCTCAGAAACCCAAGGAGGGGTCGCTATGAGTCGGGTCCAACTTGACGGCACATAACAACAACAACAACAAAAGCAGCTGGTGGGTTCAAACCACCAACCTTCTGGATAGCAGTCAAGTACTTAACCACTGTACCACCAACAAATATACCCACTAAGGAATTCATTGTATTGTTTAGTAAACAGACAATAAACACGTTAAATGCTAAGGAACTCTCAAAAATCCCCAGTGGTTGTTATATAGGTGTTTACTGTGGTTTTCTTATTTAAAGTAAGAAATAGCAAGCTTGTTATCTGAAAATCCCCTATCCCACACTGGTCAGGAATGGATCAGCATCAGATGACCAGGGAGGCTCCCAGTAACTCAGAGAGATGCAAAAACACCAAGATAAAGACAGTGACACCTGTGAGCAAACAGGAGCCCTCCAAAGTCAAAGGCCACACCGTCCAAATCAGAATGTAACCCCAGGCCCGGGACAGTGTTCAGAATCTCCCAGAAACTGTGGTGTTTGTTTGGTTTTGTTTTCTCAATGGAGTCAGAAAATGAAAATTAAGAGACATTAGAAATCAACCCAGTCCCAGTGAATTTCAGGAAGAGAGAGGGCAGAGACAGAAAGAAATAATCAAAGAAGTAAGAGGTTAGTCCAGAACCAGGGAAACACCTAGCCCAGTAAGTAAAGACCTCCACCCAAGTATACCCTCACAAAATTCCTAAACATCAAGGAAAACCACCACAAAAGCTTTCAGAAAGGAGAGTGCCAGGCCCCTAGAAATCAAGAAGATAGACAGATATCAGACCCTTGTCACCAGGAAGCCAGACACCCAGGACACCGGCCATCCAAGGTGAAATGACCATCAGTGGAGCCTGAGGCCAAGTCCAGACACCCAGAGACACAGCCTTGAGAAGTTCACCTGCACACACGGGGTCTGTGGGGTTCCCAGAGGACACACGGGTGGGGAACAAGAGCAGAACCGTCTCAGGGTCCTAACCATGAGAATGCAGGGAAACAAGGAAGAGGAATCTGAAAACTCCTCAGAGATAAAGAGAATGCAAGAACAGCAAGGTCACAGCACAAACACTTCTCAGACCATAAGGAAAGCCACACTTGACCCTGACCTTGACCACATACTTGGCCACTGTGGCCCTGGGGAGTCACACTCAGGACATTCACACAACACAAGCTGGCTCTCCAGGAAAAAACACATCTTTGAATAACATAAGTGCTTTTCTGTTGTCACACTTTGATAACTAACCTGGAGGCTTCACCACTTCCTCCTCTGGTCAACCCTGAAAATGGGAAGGGGGGACGGAAAGCGACAAGAGGTAGGGGTGGTGAGCAGGCAGGGCCCATCACAGCCTGATCTCCAGAGTGAGAAACGGCAGGTTTGGGGCTTCCTTGCATGAGGAACGGGGAGGAGACACAGCCAGCACCCCATGTCAAGAGAGGCTAAGTCTAGTGTTCAGTGATGGGGTCACCCAAAACAAAGTGGTTCTGAGACCAAGGTGACCTACACCAGCACAGTGTCACCTTCGGGGACAGGGGGAGTGGGAAGTGATGAAGGCAGGGGTCCTGATAATGCTAGGGACTAGGCATTCTGGTTAAAACTAGGCACCTTTTGGTTAAAAAACAAAACCTGCTGACAACTCCTAGTGACCCTAGAAGACAGAGTGGAACTGCCCTATGGGGTTTCTGAAGCAGACTGTCACATCTTTCTGCCACAGAATAGCTGGTGGGTTCAAACCACCAACTTTTCGCTAAGCAGCTGAACACTTAGCCCCTGCACCACCGGGACTCTTTTTGGGTCTGGTGTGAGAATCCATCAGGCTGACCTCACCACTTGTGCAGTTGATGTTTTTCTTCACTGAACGATAAACACACAGAAACCAACCAGCAGGCACCTCTGGGGGCTGCAGTGAGGGGGATGTGGTATCACTGTGAGCCTGCTGGTGGCATGGGCACGATGTAGGCACTACTCCCCACCACCAAGGGGCCAAGGGCCCGAAACAGCACCGTAGCTGAAGCCCCTACAAGTCAGGTACATGTGAGCCACATTTCCAACAGAGAGAAGCGTACCGGCGTCCGGCTGCCGAGGTCTTTTGGAAGCTTCAGTGCCGTTCTCCTCCAGCTTCCTCTTTGCACAGTCCTGACACGTGCTGCCTGAGAGAGGAGGACGCTGTTCAAGGGGATCTGGCTGGGGACCACCCCTGTCCTATTTCTATTCACCCTCCCAGGACCCCGTTACAGACCTGGTCTTCCTGAAGCACTGGCCGGCCCACCCACCCCGCCAGCCTGCCTGCCGGCCCACCCCACCAGCTGGCCACTGCAGGCCATCCGTCAGGCCAGGCCTTTTCCATAAGGAAAAGATACTCCTGGGAGCCACATGAGAAAGCAAGTACAACAAAGTCCTTCACATGTTGCTGTGGGAAGTGAGACACCAAGTGCAGCCGTGTGAAAATTCGACCCACACCCTAACCCGAGAGGCCTACACCGACACGTCTATGTTTCTGTGGGGACTGGGCCGGCAGGAGGCCCAGGCTGAGTAAGCCACCTCCCACCGCTCACTGTGGCAGGGACCGCAGTCAGGGCATCACTCGGCATCACCTCTGGTATTGCCCTGTCTTAAAACAGGCCCCTCACTGAATGTGAGAAACAGTCAGAATTCTAAAAGTAGCGACAAGCAAACAATGGGATGTACAGGCAAAAATGGAGACATGCCTCACCCAGAAACGTGGTGCTGTCCACTCGATCAGCATCTGCAAACAAAGAAAATCAGTGAGTAGGGGTCAACCCCACCAAACCCCCTCAGGGCCACGGGGGAGATGTGACTGGGCCCAAACACGACCCCACCGTATGCCCTCCTCAGGCCCACGGGGCCGATGTGACCAAGGCGCTGCCTCCTGAGCCTGGGCCCCAGTGCACTGGCTGTGCTCGCTGTGTCCTCCCCTAACACCCTACCTCCCCAGGGGCTGAGGGCTGGATGAATTTGTGGGCACAGCACTCTGCCAACCTGGCACATGATCAAGGCACACAATATATGCATCCTTAATGACACAGTCACAGGCTAAAAGTCCAAGCAATCTGTCAGTCCCTGGTCAGCTGTCAGGGCCTCAGTAGGGACAGGGGCCCACGGAGCCCACACAGTCCAGAGGCCAAACTTAGGGTGACGTTCAGGTGGAATGGGCAGAGCTGAGAAGAAAGTACTGCCTTCTTCTCTCCACACGCGTGGGCTGTGCGAGGGGACGCTGTGGTCGACAGTGCAGGAGCCTGTCCTTGTGAGCACGTCACGTCACTCAAGTAGCAGCTCTTCACAGCAGTGGACACTGCCACTAAGAACTAAGACCACGGATGTGTGGCCGATCACAGCTCGGTGCGCGTTAGCACCACACCCGAGGCAGAAACTGACCACTGCCCTCCTCATGCCTTGTACCAGCCGTGCAACACCCATCAGTCTGCTCCGCTAACTATTAGCAATTCCGAAAAGAAAAGGCTAGTGGACGACACCCCCAACCTGTGATAACCATCTTTGTATTCATTCACTCATCATTGTGGCATCCTTCAGCCACCAAAGTGTCAAGCTGGTTGCCCAGCCATGTGGGGTGTAGCTAACCTGACACCACTGTGCGTGTCTGGGTCCCCATTCCAGTTAAATGATAATCAACACAGACCTTTCTGAGTTTGCTGTCGTCAATGTTTTATGATACTGAACACAAACCCGTGAACTGCCCATTTGTCAAGATGACCAGTCCAAGAATTTCTCAACTATCTCGGTCATTCCCTGCCTTTGAATGACTCCCCCATGATTTCGGTTGTTCCCGACCCGTGAACAACTCCCTGACTGTCATAGTCATTCCTGGCCCATGAACGACTCCCCCACCGTCTCAGTTATTCCCGACCCATGAACAACTCCCCAGAAGAAGGTCCAAAAAGAATTACTCTAAAGGAGCTCTGTGTCAGAAGAGGGAGAAGCTGCTATCTGAAAAAAGACAAAACATCTTCATAAAATCATGTGCTTGTAAAACTTCAACCTGTGGGATGTGGTGGCATGAGGAAGGTGAGAGACATCTGCACTTTTGAGCTTTTACGCATCGTCAGTGACAGAGTTGGCTTGGTTACTTCCTGTCTCGTTCAAGGTCTTCTGAAGTGTGGCCTGGGAGCTGAAACACACTACACGTGTGCAACTAAACACACGGCTGTGAACTTGAGAGCTACTGTAGACTTGCAGTCACCCCAGCGCCCTGACGCACTATTTCCCAAGCACCCAGAAGCACTTTTGAAGTGAACAGGAAGCTCGGTGGGCTCTATGGTAGGTAAATAGTGTCTAAGGGAAACAAGAGGAGCTCTGGTAGCATAGTGCCTAAGGCACTTGACTGCTAACCAGAAGGCTGGCGGTTCAAACCCACCAGCCACTCCTCGGAAGGAAGGTTGGGCAATCCTACTTCTGTAGTGATACTGCCTCGGAAACCCAAGGAGGGGTCGCTATGAGTCGGGGCCGACTCGACGGCAAATAACAACAACAACAAGGGAAACAAGGGGCGAACTGGAGGGCGAGCGTTTTGTGCCCCGAGGAGGAAAGCAGCCTTATACCTGGGCTCCGCTGCCTGCAGATCTGAACGGCAAGGTCCTGCACGTAGCCTGGGAAATGGTCGAAACAGTCCCCATAGGAGACCACCTTAATCCCGTGCAGAAGCATATCTGCCTGGTGCTTAAAGAAGTGGTCTTCGTTCTCCTTCAGCACCACCATGTAGTGCTCCAAATCCACCTTGTTTGGCACCGAGTAAAGGAAGAGGGCCTGGAAGATCTGATCCCGGAGTGTCTCCCCACAGCCCACGAACAGGAAGGACTTGGTGCGGTACAGGTTCTGCAGGGCTTCCTGTGGAAAAGCCAGAGAAGACGCCTGAAGGCTCATGGGAAAGACAGTGGGGGCCTCGTCTAAGCGCAAAGGCACAATCTGGGCCCTTAAATCTCTGCACTCGAGCCATCCTTCCCAAGAGCCATGCTGAGGAGCCAAGCTGGACCCACAGTGCACCCAACATAACTCGCGCCTCAACAGAGACAAAGGCCCAGCCAGGCTGGCTGTCGGCCACCCAGTGAGGACAGGCAGCCTGCCCCCATCGGAGCCAGTCAGCTGGCTGTGCCCCACACCAGCAGCACTGCACATACACCATCACCTATGGCCCCACCACCAAGCTGCACAATCACCCAACTCAATCTAGCATGATGCACAATGTCTCAATACTAAAACATAAACTCAGGACACTCTGAGTGCCTCAGCTTAGGGCTCCGGACATGAATACCTGAGGTCAGTATTCACCTTAGTGGACCGTGGGTGTGCGCCCTGCCGGGGGTCACCCACAGAGGGTCAGGAGAGCTGAGGGCGAGAGACAACGGTGGAGGGAACAGGCACAGGGGGAAGCACAGATTCAGAGGGTCAGCAGCAGCAGGGGGAGCTGGGCCCACCACAGGAAGTCACCAGCATGGCTACCCAGATGCCTCAGAAAGGCTTGGCACCCATACAGGTACACAGACACCCTGTGCATCATGCAGTGCCAAGAATCAGCCCAATTGTTCCATCCATGGGTGTTGCTGGTACCAGTGTCACATGGGGCCTGGGGACACCAACGAGTGACAGAGCTCAAAGAGGAACCAAGGAATTACTGCCATCTCTAAGTGCTGCAGCAGAGGGGCATCAAGAAAGTGTCCCAGAGAAAGAAATGGTCCAACTTGGGTTGACAGCTGACAGACAGCTGCATACGGGGCAGGGGACTCCTGGATGAACGCAGAGGTGGAACCTTCAGGGTGTGTGTAAGCGAGGACCAGGGAGGAGGGATGCCCTACTGAAGAGCTTGCCCTGCACCCCTGGACAACAGGGACCGCTGCAGGGCTGGGGCAGAGGCCAGGACCGGCCCAGCCCGTGCTCTTAAAGGAGCAGTGCTCTGACAGGGCACTCACTCACTGGGCAACTCTCTAGTCACAGCACCAGGCCCTGTGGACACAGGCTGGGAAGACAGAAGACATGGCCCTGCCCCAGCAGCAGTGTAGAGGGTAGGCCAAGGGTGAGGACATCCAGACATAGGGCCGCTCAGACAGCAGCCAACGGCCAGTGACACCACACACCCACTCAGTTAGGTGGTGGGTGCCTGATTAGAGAGAGCCGTACCATGACTTCAGGGTCCTGGGTCACATCCTTATACCCTGATGGGTCCAGCACCATCCCACACGGGTCCGTGTACAGGCCATGGATGTGCAGCACGCCGTACCGGATGTGCCCTCGGGCCCACTGGAGGACCTAGCAAACAGGAAGCCAAGACAGAGAGCTGGCTGTCATTCCCAGAAGACACAAGAGGCAAACATCTCAGTCATATTCAGGGCGTTTCAAGTGCACCCTGGAGAGACCAGGACAGGTTTCAGGGTATGACACCACCGTCGGACAGAAGGGACACAGCTGTGACCAGCGCCAGTTCTCCCCGCCGCACAGCGACACAGATAGTTCACCAGAAAACGTCTCTGACGTCTGAGATCATAGCACACTGTGCAAAGTGATCACTCAGGAGGTAACTGGGGACTTCCACCTCCAAGCCATGCACTACTGTATTTGAAGTAACTATTATTTAGGTACTGTTTTCATCATTGGAAAAAAGTATATATGGAAAAAATAATTCATCAAATGGCCAACTCTATTCATCTCAGTTCAAGATAGAAGGAAAGGGCCTGAGGAAGACGCAACCATACATGTGTGGTTTCATCTCACGCAGGGCCCGCATCTGCAGGAAGCCCCGCCACAAGACACACCTACTCTCCAATATACCCAGGCAGCGAGACAGCTGGTGGTGTCATGTTCAATCTGCAGCTTATCTCCAGAGACACTGTTACAACATAAGTGACCCTGAGAGATGGGGCCACCCTGGCCAAAAAGTCACATTTTCACGTGTCACTGACAGCCGTGGGCAAGAACAAATTCCAGCACCAACGGTGGCAACAGTGACAATATCAAAGTGACTCCTTCCAGAAAGTCAGTCCTTGTGTCCCCACCTCTCTCTCTCTGCCACGAAGGTGAGCACTGGAGGTTCTGAGCCAACAGGCTGGGCTGTGCGTCCAGCCCTCCACTAGTCTGGGTTCTTGAACCCACCACCACCTCCAGATGCTTCAGCCTCTCTGTGCACTGAGGGGCCAGCACCTTCCCTCACCAGCTAAGCCAGATCACGGAGGGAGCAGTAGTACAGGTTAGCGTGAAAGTATACTTGTATGCAATCCACATGGAGACAAAAAATACTCACAAAAAAAATGAAATACAAACAGGAAAACGAGTGTGTGTTCCATCACACTCACAAAAGAAATATTTTAAACACTCTATCAGATGGTTGAAGCGTGTTCTGTTTTTTACATAACATCTTCTGTTGGCAAACATAGGCAACAGGGAGCCCATCTGCAGCCAGTGGGCAGGTGAACTGGTAAAACCTCCTAGAAAACACATCGCTAATTTATCTCATCAGTCTTTAAAACAGTCACACACTCTGGCCCTGAGAAGGCACTCTGGTGGCAGAGTGGTTAAGGCACTGGGTTGCTAACCAAAAAAAAGAGCAGTGGTTCAAACCCACCAGTTGCTCTGAGAAACAAAGATGTTACAGTCTGCTTCCGTGAAGATTGGCAGCCTTGGAGACCCTGTGGGAAGTTCCACTCTGTCCTCTAGGGGCGCTGTGGGTCAGAATGGACTCCACAGCAGCAGGTGTGGTTTGGACTTTGCTTCCTTGAAGATTGACAGCCTTGGAGACCTTGTGGGGCAGTTCCACTCTGTCCTCTAGGGGTGCTATGAGTTTGAATAGACTCCACGGCAGTGGGTGTTTGGTGGTGGACCCTGACACTCTCCCAGGACTATCTTGAAGAGCAGTCAGAGTGTAAGGACTTGCAGGGCAGCATCATTGACACTAGCAAAACTGTGCTGCCAGCAACACAGGAAGAAGACAACTGCACTTAGTCTTACAACTAGTTTGCCATCTAAACCCTGCTTTTAAAACAGTTCAATGAACATCAAGCTCAATTGGCATAACATACTATACAAAACATTGTTCCACCTACTATTTTGGCGAGTAGCGACTGGGATCTTAAAAGCTAGCAAGCTGCCATCTAGATGCAACAATGGGTCTCTCCTCGTCAAGAAGAAAGAAGAAAACCAAAATTAATGGAAACAATCAGTCCTAGCGACTGGTACACCATCCGATCTGCAACCTATACAACTATGAGACCAGAAGAACTAGATGGTGCCCAGCTACCACTGTCATCCACTTGGAAGGGATGTAGGAGATTCTGCATAGAGAGGGAGAACAATGTGGAACAAAACTCAAAATCATTTGGAGGCAAAAAAAAAAAAAAAAAGAAGAAGAAGGTGGGGACCAGGTTTGCTGGTCCAATAGAGCCTGGTGGAACCACTGAGACTATGGCCCCTAGCTGCCCTTCAGGTCTGGAATTGAACACACAACTGTGGTTTCCAGCCAAACAAAGTACAGGCATGTGAGTTAAACATTTACCTCAAATAGACACACGCCCTGAAGAGAACAATCATGGGAGAAGGAAGGGCTGCTTATGCACAGGGAGATAGCTCAGGGTGCAGAAGAGTATGAAGGGATGGACACTGGGAGGAGGTAACTATGGGGAGGAAGTGGGAGGGGAGCTGTTGCATTGTAAATTTTGGTCAATGACATGAGACAAAGTATATGTGAACTGCTGTATGAAAAGTGAATTTACTCTGTAAATCTTCACCCAAATCAAAATAAAATTAAAAAAAAAAAAAAAAGTTCAATGATAGGAAAATATCAACACTATAATCTTAAAGGAAAAACTCAGGATAACAACGCTACATACGATGCAATCCCATTTGTTTATTAACCAAACATTAACACCAATCAGACTGTACGAGCTTTGGCTCTTCTTTCTTATAGTCTCATTTCTTGTACTTTCTATAATGAATAAACATAGATTAGAATACCTTGCAGGCCTGCAGAATTGAATGCAAAAAAAACACGTGAAAGCCATTACTGTCAAGCAGCCATCTAGATGCAAGATGGGTCTCTCCTCGTCCATAACAAAGAAGAATGAGAAAACCAAAGACATATGGAAACAATTAGTCCAAGATACTGGTACACCATGCGATCCACAGCCTATACGACTATGACACTAGAATTAGACAGTGCCCGGCTACCAATGTCAACCACTCAGAGGGGATCTATGTAGGAGATCCTGGATAGAGTGGGAGGACAGTGTGGAAAAAAACTCAAAATCATTTGGAATAAAAAAAAGGGGGGAACCAGGTTTGCTGGTCTGAGAGAGCCTGGTGGAAGCACTGAGACTATGGCCCCTAGCTGGCCTTCAGGTCTGGAATTGAACCCACACCTGTGGCTTCCAGCCAAACAAAAGACAGGCTGTGTCTACACAGGGAGACAGGCTGGGGGGGCAGGAGTACATGGGAGAGAAGGACACAGGGAAGAGGTAACTCTGGGGAGGAAGTGGGAGGGGAGCTGTTCCATTGTGGAAATCGTGGTCAATGTCATGAGACAAAGTGTATGTGAACTGCTGTATGGAAAGTGAATCTGTTCTGTAAACTTTCACCCAAATCACAATTTAAAAAAAAAACAACCCACCGTGGAGCCGATTCTGACTCAGTGAGACCCCTTGTGTTACAGAGCAGAACTGCATGCCATGGGTTTTTCTTGGCTGTAATCTTTTCAGAAGACAGCCAGGCCTTTATTCCTTGGTGCCACAGGGTGGATTCCAACCACCGACCTTTAACAGGCAAGCACAAACTGTCTGTACCACCCAGGGACCAAAAAGAAAGTAAGAGAAGGTAAAAAGAAAAGAAATCAAATAATAGGAAATCAGACAATAAGCAAGTCTTAAGAAAGGTGGCTAAGGCACCTGACTGCTAACCAGAAGCCTGGCGGTTCAAATCCACCAGCCACTCCTTGGAAGTAAGATGGGGCAATCTACTTCCGTAGTGATACTGCCTTGGAAACCCAAGGAGGGGTCGCTATGAGTCGTGTCCGACTCGACAGCACATAAGAACAACAACAACAAAAAAGAAAGGGTGTCCCCATCCCAGCCCCCCACGGCTCTACGGAGATGGGCAGGCAGAGTTTGAGAATAACGGCATGTCTGGGTCACTGTGGAGAGCTGAAAGGTAACAATTTCTCATCACGACATGGTTCCTCTTGGTCCACAGCAGCCACTCCCCCCACCCCTGTTGGCGCCGGCCCCCACCTTCGCCTTGTCCTTGAGGTCCAGGGACTCCATGGGCCTGCTCTGCTGCTGCCCAAAAATCTCGAGCAGGTTGTCGTAGTTGGTGGTCAGCACCATGGTGCCGCGCTCCATCAGGGTGAGGATGGACTGCAGCACCAGGGGGTTCTGGATGTGCTGCTCCAGGTTGTCGAAGACCTCCATGAGGCAGTCCTGGAAGAAGTTGGGCTTGGTGTCACCTGTGCGCTACAGAAAGGTAGAACCAGAGTTATAAGGACGTTCTCTCATCAACTGTTGGACACCTAAGCAGGTGGTTTTCTGGGGACTAGGGACAGTGTAGTAACACCAAACCCAACCCTGACCTTGGTTTATGAAGACTGCAGAGGGGGAGACAGAGAGGGTGCCGACAGGCCCGCGCGGGAGCAAGGCTCTGAAGAAGCAAAGCAGAGAGCGGCGGGCAGTGCCAGGACGAGGGCGGAGTGGCCAGAACACTGAGGGACAGTCGCTGGCCCAGCACCAGGTGACTGGAGAGCTGAGGAGGCAACGAGGTCCCAGAGAGCCCACCCTAAGCAGGAGCAAGGACCAGCACAGGGGCACCAAGGTGACAGCCTGCTGGACCACATGGCAGGACGGTGAGGGGAGCCATCAGGAAGTTAGGTCAGCGAGGGGCCGGGACCCAATCCAGGGGCCCTGAAGCCCAAGGCCCAGACTCCACTTTCCCTGGAGAGCTACCAAGCACTGGCTTCCTTGTTCTCGGTGGCAAAGAGGAGGACGGGTCACCCTCAGCGGCACAGTAAACAGCAAAGTCAGTGCCACACACACCGCCGACAGTGGACGGGACCCAGCAGGAAACCCTGGGTGACTGGACAGGGGCAGGCTCAGGGGGTGGGGGTACAGGCTGCCTGGAGTGGGTCCAAGAGAAGAGGAAAGGAACTGGCAACAACGGGTGTAAACCACTCTTCTGAAGGGTTCAGCTCTAGGAGGGATCAGCGCAGAGGAGGGCATAGGGGTCGAGAGGTCAGGCCTTCCTGGGAAGGCCACTCCTCCTGGCCTCCATCTCCTGCCACAGGATGGCCGTGGAGCCTGCAGGGTGCCCTTCCTTGCAGTACCCCACCCAGCCCTCCCCGACCCAGTTATCTGGCAGAATTCACCCCATCCCTGGGCTCTCTGCCCTCTCTATGTCAGTCATCACAAGAACCCTGACACACCCAGATGACCACCCACCCTACAGGGCTCCAGGCACCCTCGTCACTGACACTGTCCCGCCCGCCCCGATTCCCGTCCACTGACCCAGCAGGAGCCCTCGTC